AATGAGTTCATTTGTTCAGTTTACCAAAAAGAAGAATGTACCAAGACATGGCTGTAGGGAAGTCTTTGCCTTCCCTAGAGAAGTACTGAATAATAAAAGGGTCTTTGACCCAGTGGAAGAAACAATAACAAATGCTGGAGATAGAAGCCAGGCAGCACTAACTGGAAATAAGGGGTTTATTTTTAAAAATGAGCCATTCATCACAGGAATAAGATAAGGATGATACTAAGGTATACAGTACACCTTTTGTTGACTTCAGACCAAAGCCTTCTAGAAGACAAGTTTGAACTTTGTTCTGTTATAGCTGAGTGAAATCGTACAGCTCCTGATCAGAGCTGAACGAGACTTTTGATGCCCTTGTCTGAATATTCTCCCTCTACCTCCTGTTTCTCAGCCACTTTCCACCTGTGGATTTCAATCCCTTCTTCCTGGGCAGAAGCAGTGACAGACGGGACTTGTGTGCATTGGTTTCCATTGGGATTCTAGGCTTTGTGCAGTCTCATTCCACTGTTGCAATGTGGTCCCTCCACCTGCATTGTCATTTCCATCCAAAAGCTCTGCAGATCCCTGAACTATGTAGTGCATTTCTGCCTTCTGTCGTCAATGTCTCTCCCATTTTAACATCTGTCTGAGTTGAATTAATGCCAAAGGCATGAAGAAAACACAGGTCAACAAAAGTTTGTCGGTCAGAAAAAGCTACTTTCAGCATCTTAAGAGGCTCCTGCACTGGACTGTGGCACCAGCCAAGGTTGGAACTAGTATCTGCACTGTGGAGCTAAGTAATTTCTTGGGCCACCATCAAAGACCGTGGGCCTGGGACATGTCTACAAATATCCCTGCAAATGTGAAACCTCAGTGTTTAGTTAGGTCTTCACCTCAAAACCAGCTGCTGGATGGGGGGCTGATGGTGGCAGATATGGTCCCTTACAAGCCTTAATTAAATTCTAGGCTAATTCCTAAATCTGGAGAACATTTGAAAGTGGGTAGTTGCAGTGTTTCAGGCAATACCCCACAACAGAACGTTTATTGTTTCAAAGAAAGACTCGAACAGTGAAGGCTGTATGGGTTGATTGCCATTCCAGGAGAGCTGCAAGGCTACTGTTCACTGCTTAGAAACTTGGAGGGGGAGAGAGTAATTTCATATGGGCCATGGCAGGAATGAGACCATGCTGAAACACAGGTTTGCCTGAAGGAAGGTGGGTAAGGAGAGGAAGCGGTCCTTGTCAGTACAAGGAAACATTGAACAATAAGGGGAGGAGCAGGCTAAAGAAATTCCTATTCCCCAAGAGTTTCCTTTTAAGCACAAGGTGGGTGTGTCTCCGTCCAACATAAAACACATCCTAAAATAAACATGCACAATTATTTGTGAACATACACATTCCTTATGGTGCAATGTTGTTTTGTGTCCATTTAGAAGTTACAGCCAGAACCTTTCAAGTGGCTCAGACAGCAAAGGAAGCAGAAATTGAAGCAGAATGAAATTGTTGTGATAAAAGCCAAACAGTGGTGCTTTCTTTTCAGTAACTGTTTGGGTTATTTTTTAAACAAACACTTGTACTCCTCCTGTACTTGTATCGTGAAAGGCAAGACCAATGCACAGAGCAGTTAGGAAAAAACTGTGGAAGGAATCAGGAGTCACCAGTAGCTGGCACAAGTGGGTCAGAGTAGGACATCACAATGCCTACTGTTACCATACTATGAGCAGGGTCCATTATCATAAGTTGTCTTCCACTAGCAGTGTTACTGAAGGTAGCAGAAGGAAAAATGCAAGATTACTTGATTCCTTTTGCTGTAGAAAATTATCACTGGAGGGAATGTGGGTAACTGTGTTTAAGCTATATTATTTTATTTTTTAAGTGGATGTCTGCATGGTTATTTTACATAAAGGAAATTAGTTCATTACATTATTTCAAATTTGTTTATAAGACAAAGCTTGGGAGATCCTGGCATTCTCTACAGTACAGTATTTTTCTCATTACTCAGTGTTTCAGTGCAGACATTCTGTCTGACAAGAACAAGGATGAGAATGCAGAGACTGTGCTCAAGCCTTGTCACATCCCAGGAATGGAGTAGGTATATTTGTGTCCTGCTCTTGGATAGACATTCCTAGGAAAAGCCAGACACTGCAGGAAGTGGTATAATACCTCCACAGTGATGTTTCTTCCTTGGACTTAGTCCTAAAAATGCCTCATTATGGTGGTAAGGGGTCCATTGGTGCTTTCTGATGGGAAAGGTGTAAGGACTCAGTTTTAGCTAATAAAAATTTCATGTGTTTTACTACCTGACGTTAGTTTAGGATGTTCAGTTGTTGCAATAACTGATTTAAAAATCCAAAAGGTAGATCTGGCTGGGGAGCCAGGCTTACAAGATACTCAACCCACTTCTATTCCCTCCCTGTTTTTAACTGGCAAGAGTGTTCAGCATTCTGCAGCCTTCAGCTGCTGCAGACTTGCTGCTGGCTGCAACAGAAGCAATGGTACTTCAGCGACAGTGAAGTGTTTGGCACAGAATGTTTCTGAAATAATCTGGAGGGAAAGATTAGCTACCCGTTCTGTGATTTCAGTGCCTAGACAGATGCCCCGCAGCTCAAAGAAGCAGGGGATACTGTGAAACAAGAGCACACACTACAGTACTGGAGACTGGTGAAAATGCAGTTCTCCCTCCCTCCTTTTCCACACATGAAGCTGGATCAGATAAAACCCCAGATACAGAATAATTCTTAATCGCTGTATGTGGTACGGCGCCTGATTAAAAAAAACTCTTTCCAGGCTGAGCAGACATCACTGACTCAGTTTTTAACTTAGATGAAATCTCCCTGGTGTCTCACAACTCTAGAAAGACTTTTTCTGCCTACATCAGAATGCCAAATTGTTAGCATCTTTCTGAGTATTGGAAGAAATTTCAGCAAGGTTAAGAAGATCAGAAGAAACAGCCTCTTGTATCTCCCAGAGTCTAACCAAACAAATAGGCCAGTATTAGTTCAATGCAAATTACTCCAGTTGGACTAAGGTAACAGTAAGGAAAGTTTCATGACACCAAATATCAAAACAATCAGAGAATCATTTTTAAGCAGTTTGCATTCAGTATTACTTCATTCTCAATATGGTGCACAGCTGAATTTTGTTTTCAAGACGTCCAAAGTCTGCATTCCAAAATATTCAAAATGTAACAGCACAGTAGCTACACTTCCTGAAACTTACAGCGTGATTTAGGATAGGATTTCGCATAGGAACCATGTCCCAAATGGTGTCTCTTAAGGTGTCCCTTATTTCCTGTGTGTAGGGCATGAAGATTTTGCACAAACAATTGTTCCCGTCTCTGTCACAGAATCCCAGAATCCCAGCATGGCAGGGGTTGGAAGGGGCCTCTGGAGCTCACCCAGTGCCACCCCCCTGCCCAAGCAGGCTCACCCAGAGCAGGGGGCACAGGACAGCGTCCAGGCGGGGGTTGAAGATCTCCAGAGAAGGAAACTCCACAGCCCCCCCGGGCAGCCTAGGTCAGGGCTCGGGCACCCTCAAAGTAAAGCGAAACAGTTTGTCCTGTGCTTTTCCTTACAATGAAGAGCTCCTCTTTTTCCACTAAAATGTGTTAATTGAAATTATAAAAAGAACTAGAGATTTCTGATTAACCATGTAATTACCTATGGGTGACTAGGAAACATTAGTAAGAGCAAACCCCTTCTCTTTACTTACTATCATCTGTAACCATTTGGTGTGCTGGCTCTTCACACCACGTATTTAATCTGATCTAAAATCTCATGAGGGAGGATCCCTATTGTTGCCTATTTATGCAGCCTTTCAGCATTTCATGTAGTTATTTAAAGAATATTAATTTCAGGACCAAGACAGCTGGAAATGGCTGTGGCATGTAAACTGTACTGTGAGTAAAATGGCCATATATGACTTAATTCATCTAGCTTCAATCTAGCTTATTGTCCATCTGCTTGAATTCCCCTACACGTGTGTCAGCACTTCTGCTAGAAATCATTCAGAGACTTTGGCTGGCCTTATTTTGCATGATAATTCACTTTTTTAAACTAGACTTTGATGTTCAGAGAAGATTGTACCTGCAAGGAGTCCTGGCATTTACGGGAAGAAGGAGGATCTTTTGACTAAAGAAAGTACTGAAGAAGCTGTACACTGAAAACTGAACTTAAGTGTAAACCAGTAACTCTCTTCATGTTTTGGATTGAAGTATTTCATTCAGTGCATTAGAGCTCAGCTGCAGAATCAATGTAAAGTATTAGCCAAGCTTGTAGCAAAACATCTTATCCCTCATAATTATGGTGTCTGACAACCAAAATGTAATTCCCTATTTGTTATCATGGTAATTGCAGATGGGAAGACCGTGTCTCTGGGCACCAAGTGTTCACTTCAGTTTGCCTGGGTTGAGTTGAACCTTGATCTGTTGGTAGAACTAATTTTGTTCAACGTTGAAATTCTGCAAACTACATATTGAAATTAAAATCATTGCTACAAAGTGTTTGTACTGTGTTATAAGAACAGCTACTGTGGCTGAAAGGCATTTCTTTCATTACAGCGAAACACTTCAGCACCATTGAATCAAAGTGTTCATACTTAATCCTAGGGCAAACAGATTTCTGGGGCAGAATCAAAAGGTCTCTAATGTCATCAGTACTTCTGAGCGCGGGAGGCGTTACCCATCTGTGGGTATCTGGCTATGATAATATCCCCTTGGCTCTGCAGCTGTACATCCTTCTCTCCCCAGGTGTGCCCGGGCTGCATCTAGTTCAGTTCAGTTTTGACCTTAAACCGTGATCCCTGCAATAGCTTCAGTGCCGCGTGGAAGCACAGTGCGTATGCTTTGCTCCTTCAGTTTTCAGAGCTGAGCCTTCTATTGGCTGGACTCCTTCTACATTAGAAGTCACTGGTATAAAGTCTACCATAGGGTATACTCTGCTGACTTGAATAAGAAACCAAGATGACTAATATGGCTCTTCTCTCTTTTTCTCCAGAAATCACAAAGCCACCACTAGCACCAAAACCAAAGATTACCGATCATCTTTCTCCAGTAGCTGCCTCCAAATTTTCTCCTTCACTGCCAAGGGCTGATATTCTTCATAACCCGAACTCTATGTCTAGGGGTCCCAAACCACCTATTGCTCCCAAGCCAAAATTCTCAGCTGACACTGAGGGCAAATCCAGTGTTTGTACCAACAATAACTTAAATATATGCTCAAATGGGAAACTGGTATGCCTCGATGGAGAGCTGTATGAAGGAAACCAATGCAATGCTGATTGCCCAGAATCTGAGGCAGATAATGAATACATTGTAGTTCCTGAAGCTCAGCTGACTAGCAAAGACTGTAATGACTTGGAACATGAGCATGATCAGAACCTAGACTCCTTTGTGGAAAATGAAGTCTCGGAAACTCCAGAAGAGGTAGAGAAGGAAGAGGATAACATTGCTAATGATGAGGAAACCAGTACTCGAGAAGTCACCGAAGGTGAGCATCATAACTCTTCGCATATTGCTGAACCAATGGAACACGACTCTGAAGAGTCAACCAGAGACTGTGACCAGTCCAAAGCACTTTGTGAGGAGTCCTCTGATGCCCCTGATGCGGATAATTATGCTTCCAAGAATGTAGATGAAGATGAGGATGTTGTAGGTGATTGTAGTGAAACCAAAAAGGAGGAAACTTCTAACAACCTGGAACTGGTTAAGGACAATAGAGATTGTAAGACTGACAGTGATAACCTTTTGAATAGAGATGAGGAACTAATGGGTGGTATCTGTAAAGATACCATTGTAATGCTACTACATGAAGATGAATCAATCCCAGATTGTGAAAAGGCAGGGCAGGAGGAGGAGGAACTTCCTGAGATTTTAGAAAAGGGAGATGGCTGTCTAGCACATGATGGTGACCACAGTGTGCATGCAGAGCTTGATTTGAACATGGAAGGGGACTTAGAAAATTCTGACTGTGCAAGCCCTGACATGCTGCCCGATGAGGCCAGTGAAGAAACAGCTCCTGGCTTAGAACTGTGCGAAGATGAACCCAGTGCTGAAAGTGGTTTAGGAGAGTCCATCCATCAAGCAGCAGCTGAAGAGGAGGAAGCAGACCCAGATGAGCACAATAATACAAACACAGGAAATGTCAGTGATGGCTGCCAGATCACTGAGAGGAGAGGTGAGGAGAAGACATCAGAGGTAGCCTGTGAAGCAAGCAAAGACTCTGGGAAAGGGGAAGAAGAAACTGTGAATGCAGAGAGTATGGATGATGACTGTCAAATTTCTCCTTGTGAGAATGAATGTGGTGAGGAAATACCCATGCAACATTCAGATGAGAATCTTCAAACAGAAGGGACCTCTCTGGATGAAGATGGCGTGATCTCTGATAGTCCACCTAGCAGTCCAGGGATGGAGCCAGACCTGGAAGATGTGACTGTTGAAGAGCATAGTGAAAGTATTGTGGAAACCTCTAAGTCAGATGAGCTGCAACTTGAAGACAATGAGGTGGAAGCAAACAGCCTCAGCAAAAGTGTCCCAAGTCCACCTCAACAGGTCCCACTTGAGGAAGACTTAGAATTCTGCGAGCATGGCAAAATGAATGCAGAATGTGGGCTCAAACATGTCCTGCGTGAAAATCTGGCAGTCCCTGAAGTGGTCATTGTGCCTGAAGAATCAGAGGAAAGAGAAACTAGCAGTGATTCCCTAGATGACCCTTATGTGCTTCCCGCAGAAAATGAAATTGCTCGTGATGGGCAGAGTGATTTAGGAGCTGATCACAGCGAAAGGGATGAATTAGGCGTGGATGGTGAAAACAACTTGCTGCCCATTGATCGTAAAAGCATTGTCACTAGAACACGGTCACTCTCTGGGAAACTGCCAGGCTATGTCCCAGAAACGGTTCCAGAAGAAACTGGACCTGAAACTGAGGTACCATCTTCACGCAATGGCTCTGGGACAGAAGATTTAAGCAACAATTTATTTTCAGCGGAAGGAAAGCCAATAGAAGCCAAGAGGGCATTACCAACCAAGTCAAGACGTTTCATTTTATATCCTCGATCTTACTCTGTTGAAGGGAGAGAGATACCTGTCTCTGTTTACAGAGAAAGTGATAGCTGTGTACTGAATGATGGTAGAATAAAAAGGACAGAAGACAACTTGTCTTTGCCTTGTGTCAATGGTTCCTCAGGCAGTTTTTCCCAGAGAAATCATCTTTCATCATGTGGCCTATCTACTCCATCCTCAGTTGTTGATATACCACCTCCTTTTGAACTTGCCTACATCACCAAAAAACCAATCACTAAAAGTTCCCCTTCACTTTTGATAGAGAATGACTCACCTGATAAGTATTCCAAGAAAAAGAAATCTTCCTTTAAGAGGTTCCTCACTCTAAAATTCAAGAAGAAAACTGAAAGTAAAGTCCATGTAGATGTTAATGTTTCTTCTTCAAGGTCCTCATCAGAGTCTAGCTATCATGGGCCTCCGAGGCTGATGGAGCTGGACAGGAGGAGCCTAAGTAGCTCACCTCAACTAAAATCACATGTGGGGAAGCTCCGTGCATCTGAGTCTCCCTCAGCTGTCCTTTTCTATAAGGATGGTAAAAGAAAAGGAACATCCAAGTCCTTCAGCAGAAGTGTGTCAAGGGTGGAATCCTTCGAGGACCGGTCCAGGCCTCCTTTCATGCCACTCCCATTAACAAAACCTAGGTCCATTTCTTTTCCCAACAAATTCCTCCTCGAAGATCCACGAGAGCAGGAACTTTTACTGAGTTTTTTGAAGACCCCAGCAGGACATTATCTGCTGCTAATGAGAATGACGGCTACGTGGACATGAGCAGCTTCACTGGCTTTGAGAACAAGCAGCAAACCACAGACCAGGAAACAGAAAGGTACTGTAATAAAATTATTATGTAAGACTTGCTAGCCTTGGCCAAACAGGCAAGGCCTCCCCTGCTAGGTATTGCAGGCAGATGCTCCATGTTGCTTGGCTTATACCCCCCACCCTGCCAGGAAATGCTTACAAGAAAGATTGGAAGAATACAAGATAAGCCTTTATCAGTGAAAAAAAAAAAAAAAAAGACACCAAATTAACTCTTTACCTTGTAAATGTATACTAGCAAGTCCAGTGGATCTGGACCTTTGAATTTGAATCTGTCGTCAGATTATAGCATACAATCAGTGGAGTGCAGAGATGTAAATAAGTGTTTTTCATTAAGTTAATGTTAAACAGGTAATGAGAAAACAAGGTGCAAAGCAAGTGAGTGAAAAGGAGTGTCTTTAATGCAGCTGCATTTTGTTAGAGCTGTGTGAAAAGGTAAACGTCTTAAAAGCAAGGTTTTTGTGTCCATTTTCATCCATCATTCTCCTTCTAAAGATTTAATACTCCTGTTTCTTTGCAACATTTATTTTTTTCTGATCCTCTTCTCTGCTCATTGTGAATGGTACAAACCATGGGCATTTCACACATCCCTCTTCCCGATATTTCAGACTTGGGGAGTAAACCAACTTTTCTTTAACACCTCTGAATGAATCTTGCAAACCATTTCTACGACTAGAATGATATATGGTGCTTTGTCTTTCTGAGAGGGGCGAGAATT